GGAGGTTTACCGATACAATCGTACACGTACATCATCAGTATAAGCAGTCGAACAAATCTCTTTCAAACTGAAAACATCAATGTCTTGTTTACGCCAACACTAGCTAAGGTTCATGTCATTAAATATGACACAAGTATTCGGAGTTTGACAACGCCTTAACCAGTAACACCTTTATAATTGAAGTATGCAAACTCAGTCAAATCAGAAGTCAGGAATGAAGAGGCTCTAAGATATATTTGAAAAGCTATCGGTACGCCGAGAAAACCTTTAGTGTAAACTGGCTAAAAGTTGAAAGGGATTTTTAGCACGGTATACTCATTCGTGGTCTGGTGCGGATGTGTGGTCGAGCGACTTCAGATAGGTGAGTCCAGTAAAACTATTGCGGCCAGAGTCAAATGTCGAAGACTCACAGAGCTATTGATTTTGGGGACTTATTAACCACTACCCATTATCACTGACACAAGCTGGGTGTTGTTATCTGCTTGCTAACAACTTATGCTCTCTTGGTAATGGCATTAAAAAAGCTCTCTATTTATCATATTGTAGTAAGTGATTTAGCCGAAAGCAACGCACAACAGTGTCACCTACATTTGTGGCTCATATGCATAGTTGATCTCAAAACCTAATCACTCAATTTCATACGAATTTATCTCTATATTATTCCAAACTTGATACTTGCTACTGACTTGTATACTCCATCAGTTTGTAAGTATGAATATAAATAGTCAGTTTATTGCACATCAAAACATCAAGTCTAGAGAAGGTCTCTCATGAGTCCGGTCTTCAGTAATAAGGATAGTAGGTTGGTGAACCTCTGTTAATCCTAACAGTTTGCCCTCCATTGAAGGTTCAGCTTCTACTTGAAAATTTATACTGATGGGTCTAACACCATTTATTCGGGCAAGGCGTTCCAACCATTAACTACCTGATAAGGAAAGCGGAACCGCACTTTAGGTTTCCTAGATCGCGGTTTGTGAACCTTCTTCCTATGACCCCGGAGACTATTGGTGTTGGAGGGAGCAAAACGATAGAACATTTTAACACTCAAATCGTAATTAAAGATATGAAATGCCAATATAAGGTCACCTTGAGTCCTAGAATATGACAAGGGTAAAAGGGTAAGGTGTTTTAACCGCATATCATAAGGGAGTTTATAAAGACCCTTCGTCACTTTTGTTACCACATGCTGTACACGCTCAGGTGAGTAAGCATCCTTATTCAGACATGAGCCAGATTTTGTATACAGTACTCTAAGTGTGGTCTTACGTAGGTAGTTTATAAAATTGGACACATATCGTCACAGTATTCGAATGTTCAACAAAGTGACCATAACGTAGGAAACCCTTTGACAGCAACTGCGTCGCAATGCAATTGTTTTTAAGTCGCGACTTCTTATGATCCCTAAGTCTTTATGTTTCTGAATGCATGGAAGAGGTGTACCATCAATAGTATTCTGGAAACTATTACCATATCCGTGGTGCATGAGCACACTGTTCTTAGAATTAGCTTCAAAGCCCCAACTTCGAGCCCATCTAAGTAATCCATGTAGTTCAACTTGGAGATCAAAATGACCAGCCTTACTTCTTATTGTTCTCCAGATTTTAACATCATCCCCAAACAATAATGTCGACGACTTAAGCGATCGTGGTAATCCATTCACGTAGAGAAATAGAATTAGGGCACCTAAGATTATGCCTTAGAGTACACCACTTTTGACTACCTTTCGTTCGGATAGCGATCCATCAGCTCGCATTCTCTATCTGAGGTCACATAAGAAGTTTCCTATCCATCACTGTACAGCACATGTTATTTCGAAGCTCGAGAGCTTCTGCATAAGATCCAAGTGTGAAACCTTGTCAAACGCTTTGCTAAACTCCGTGAATATCACATTGACAGACTGGCCATTATCCAAGATTGCTGTCTAATCCTCTCTTGCCATACATTCGTTATACATTAATTCTTTTTTCGAAACCCGTGTCGCTCGGGTGGTAATAGATTGTATGATTCTATGTGACTTCGTAACTTAACCCGAATTAACTTTTCAAGCAACCCGAATACCGAACTGGTTAGACTGACAGTTCGCTAGTTAGATGCGATCTATTTCTGATCATCTTTCAATATAGAACTGACTATAAAGTCTTTCCAATCTCTAGAAAGTTGAGTATGTGAGAGGGACATGTTGAAGAGCGTCGCGAGTGGTCTTGAAATAGTGTCCACAAAAGATGACAGCACTCGTGGATGTAACCGATCAGAGCACGGTACCTTACAAGATTTTAAGTTGGTGATCAATGGAGAAACAGTTTCCTCAGTCACATGTACAGGTCCTATGATTAGCATCTCTGTGTGATTGGGACAAATATTCGTAACACTACACTTCAATAAAATAGTTTGAAAAAGTCTCAGCGTCTGCTAGATCTGATTCAGCTAGTAAATCTGAACTTCCGTGTAACAGTATTCGGAGGAATACCATCATCACGTCTTGTTCTCCATTTAATGTACGAAAACAATCGTTTCGGACAATAAAGCTATCATATCCCAAAAGGTCTCTTGTAAATAGTGCGACATCTAGCTATGGCCTTTTTACATGTATCCCGGATTTTTGGTTTCACGCATATATGATTCCTATCCTTTGGACAAGAATAAGTCCCAGAAGCGTCTCATACGCTTCAGCAGCCTTTGGGTTCCCTTATTAATCCGTGGTGTGATAGCCTACCTATTGGCCATGGAATAAAGGGTGGTTTTACGGGCTCGAAGGTAGACTTAACTTATTCTATTCGTCTTCGATCGATCCGTCAGCATTGACCGACCAGTCATACGAGATAGCGCAGTCTCTGATTGCTGGAATATTATCTCTCCAGATATTGGGACGGGGTGGAGCAGATATATATTGTATGCCGTGTGTCCGAAAATTAACGTGGAGTAAAACGTCGGGATTATTCACCATTGGGGTATGGTGCTGAATGTTGACATATTCGCAGTGGTGTGTGAGAACAAGGTCCAGCAATGAAGAGTTTGTTCCAAGTTAATATTCGTCGATTTTACGATACTTCGTACAAATGCACATTGAATAATTGTTGATGGAAGGTCGCTATCGAACCCCCCACCTGAAGCTGTGAGCTCTATTCAGTCGATACATGGCGCGTTTAAGTCACCAAAGATGAGACAACATTCTGGATTACTCCAAGAACAGATGTGTCTTATGATAAAGTCGTCAGCAACACAACACTGACTACGATATATCCCTCCTATAGTCACTAACCCGTTTCTAGACCTAACTGTACAACATGCGACCTCACATGTACCTCTAACATGCGTCTTCGATTTGATTGATTGTATACGTAAGTTATCCCCAGCATATAACAGTATATCTACGGCGAGTCAATTTTCTGTGACAACGATTATATATGAACTTAATTCACCCACCATCATACTTAGCTCGGACATTTTATTTTGAAGATTACGGGCATTCATGTAGCGCACACTTAAGGTGTTTTGAAGCATTGGAAGCATTGTCTTCCAAGACCTGACTACCCGAAAACCCTTAATCATCAGGTTCGTTTCGCCATTTAGCTTTCGAGCTCTTAACCCAATATTGTGTTACTTAGGAACTTTGTTGGAATAATTTGCAACGCAGAATGTGAGTCCACCAAGGACTTTCCAAATAAACAGTCTCTGCTTTTGGCTACCTATCCTTCTCGTCTACGTTTTCGCGTCATCCATTTCTCATCAGTTGCAGCATCCACATCAGAACCGCTCGAGACGATAATGGTTTTGTCTGGGTCATCAGTCACTTCTGTAACAACTTGACCACCAGCACCTTATGGTGTACCACTCATTAACTGTTTTGGGATAGAAAACCTCAATGCCTGTTGCGCGATCGGGTGTCTGGAACATTCCGTAAAAGCACATAAAACACTGAAGCATTCTACGCTACCAATACCCATTTTACCAGCACAGCTCTCATCAACTTTCTGTTAGACAACGCCAGAAATCTAATTTTATGTTGGACGAGTGATGTTTTCCCCGAGCAACAAAATATACAAAGCCAATGGTTGTTAGGATATGAGCACCTTTTATAGACATTGAGATGTAAGTTGGTGCACATTTTATGGAATTACTTCTTCAAATCGTTACATTGTGTTCCTTCTTTCATAGGGAATAAGCAATATGGCTGTCCATATTTATGAGCAGGGCTGAAAACCCTAAAAACTAACTAAAGTGGTGAATGTGAAAGAAATTCAAACTTCAGCCGGACAAATCAAGTCAAGGTCCACCAAGTATGCTTTATTGCAATGAATAAGCAAAGTCAATGCACATAAGTGCAATATCACTTTAGATGAAATTGATTCAATTAAAGTGCAAAGAGTAGTTTTGATGCGTAATTTGTCGTAAATTTGTCGCAACGAGGGATAATACCACTGTCCCTTTTGTTTTGTTTCGTTTGCTCGTATCGTTGTGTACTCAAATATATGTGTATTTCTTCTCTTAAAATGATATAAAAAATTCACCGAATATAAATTTTCATTGTACGTATTTTATTTTTGTTTTGCACTACTTGGCTCGTTATAATAGGGAGAGATAGCCAGATGCTCCTGCACAAAGCAAACTGTAAATCATCAAAGATGACGATCTCTCTCGAATGTTTGGAGGCCTACTCGAGTTAGACGTGAACGGTGTGACGAACCAGCTAACTTCGAAGCCACACCTCTCGGCCAGCACCTAACGTGCATTACCCCTTGGACGTATCAAAATAATATAACAATATAACACAAAGGAAATGTATTAGTAAGAATAGGTAAAGAGAAAATAGCGAAACTACCATCGCATACCCCAGCTCATAGCATACGATTTAACTGATCTACAGACCTTACTTGGATTATTGCGTCGAAGTAGATAGTTCTTACTTTAAAAGGGGCGGTAACATGTTCCAGTGCATGAATCGTGTGAGATGTATGATATTCACGGATCTTCTTAACTTTTCTCAATGATGGGCGGTCAGTATAAACATTTCCCCTTGTCAGACCTCAGAATACAAGGTGACTTTGTATTGATATGGGAGATAATAATTTCGGGATAATGACTCTAACTATATAGTGACAGTCCTATGCAACCTATAGGCAGATTTCGGGACACTGTAGCATGTTATTTCCACCGAATATCCTTTGTACGTTGACGTGTGGAAAAATTATTAGACATTGAACGCTCTATACGACCTAACCTAAGGCGCTAGTTTAATGAGTCTTCAGATGAGATATCATAGAGTGTTGTTAGTTTTGTTGGTTTGTGTGCTAACTAGTTCATGTATAGCTCAGAGGTAATGATATATTTATAGTAATATTTTTAAGCCTGACTCACACGGATAACTACACTTATTTCAATGTGTCTGGCTGCTTAGCATTCTTTGCTCGTTCGATTTCTGTAACATTCGTTAGCGGGAAAACAGCTAGTATCGTCCCTATACCGGCAAGTTCAATGTCACTTTCTCCACTTAGTAAATGCTCTGATATAAAATCGTTTCTCGTTTTCACGTCATCAAATGTTAATGAAATCTCCGACCTTAATGTCAGGTAAACACACATAAATACATGTTTAATAATACTTACTAGCTTGACTTTTAGCAAATCCGGTCGTTATTGGGGTGTTTCTGAATCATCTGTTAGTATCAAGTGTCAGTCAGGTTCCAAATCATGCGTCAATGTGCCTGGAAATCCCTTGGCCATCAAATGGGCTGAAGCCCCTGTCAGTCTTGGTTACAAGTGTACTAAACCTTCAGTTGCACCAGTAATCTTTCCGTCAGGTTCTGTGAATTCAGTTTCTTTTCAGTTCACTAGCATCCAGGTAAGCAGTCCATTTATTGCTTTCAACCATAATGGCATTCATACGAAATTTGACAACTGCGATTTGTTCTCGATTAACGACAAACTTATTATTGATATACGGTTGATAACAACCGTATTGGTTAATTTTATTTTGCTGACAATAATACAGTTATCAATTTTCACTTTTTTACTGTATAGGAATTTAAGCAGCCGGAACGAGGTTCAAACCTTCGCTCATTATTCACAAACGCCTTTAAAGATAGGTTGATCCCTATTTTCTCGACCTGTTTGTACTACATCTAATTTCTCTTGTTCAGCCGTACATTGAACGCACAGTAATACTCTTAGCCTTCATAAACCTACCAGGTGTTGGTTTCAACGAGAATAAATCTCTTGTTTAATTACTATCAAGGGCAGCTAAAATCACTAATCAAGTTTCTTGATCTTGCCTGCGTATTACAACACAACTGCCATCGTGTGTTAGAAATGTATTAATTCCATTTTATTTCCATTCGGGACGTAATTATCATTATTATGGGGATTGCCATGATTCGATATAAGCAACGAAATGCAACTCAATATTTTCTATTTAGTTATGTAGTGCGAAACGCTGTCCCAGGTCTACTAAAACCTCGCTCCAAACTACACATTGAGCCTTCATTGTGCGTACCTTATGCCAAATCGGTCAACAGGCCTTCTTAGCTAATACCCTAGAATCTCGTACCATTGATGTATGCTGTGTCTCCGAAACACGCATACAGGATCCCAGTATGATCATTCACTTGACCTCACCTCGCCAAAATGGACAACCAACGAAATACACCCTCCGTGTATCTGGCGTCCCGTTGGCTAGTTCTCGTGGACTTTCAGGTGTAGACATAGCACCAAGTACAAGGACAGAACAGGCATTGCTAGAATGGATCCCCGTTGACAGTCGCCTGTATTCTGTCCGGCTAAATAGCTCCGTAGGAACTCGGAAGGATAGGGACACACGTCGTTGCCTTTTCGTCGTTTTTGCCTACGCTCCCACTGACTGCAGCCATGATGAAGTAATAGATGACTTTTACAGAAAACTCTGAGCTTCTTCAGAAAGCTAAGCGCTCAGACATAGTAGTCGTAGCGGGTGACTTTAATGCCTAATTAGGCAGCTTAAATCAAACAGAAAGACATTTAGGTAGGTGTTTTAGTATTCCGGCTCAACAAACCGATAATGGTCGCAACTATGCTCAGACAATCGTTTATTTTTTAGCAAGCACTAATTTTAAGCATAAGGAGAGACATCGCCTAACATGGCGACTACCTGCACCAAACCAACGATGAATTCAAATAGACCATATTGTCACCAGTCATCGTTGGAGAGGCTCAATAGAAGATTGTCGCTCGTATTGGAATACTTGTTTAGACTCTGATCACGCTTTAATACGAGCGCGCATTTGTCTGCGCCTCAATGGACGCAGGAAAAGTACACTAAATAGACCTATTAGGATTGAACTGGAGGACGAGAAAGCCAAATGCGAATTCCAGAAACAACTGAGTTCACATCTAGGCAGTTCTGTTAAAAAGACTGACCCAGATGCTGCTTGGAAAGACATACGAACAGCTGTGGAAACAGCAGTAACATCTATTAGTCATTTGAACCATAGGACTCCAAAAAACCAGTGGATTTCCTCTAAGTCTATTTCACTGGTGGATTCGCGTAAACTCATCCCATCAGGCTCTGAACATGACGAAGAGCGTAAACAAATTAGATCTAGGTTAACTAAAAGTCTAAGGAACGATCGTGAGCAGTGGTGGGCAACGAAAGCAAAAAAGATGGAAAAAGCAGCGGCTGTAGGCAACGCCAGGCAACTATTCGGACTAATAAAAGAAACCGGAATTAAGAAGTCAAGTGTAAGTGAGACAATCTCGGAAAAAGACGGAACCCTTATCTACTCTCAACCCAAACGTTTAGAACGATGAGCGGAACACTTTAAGGGGCAGTTTAGCTGGCCTTCAGCTACTGCACAACTACCCACTATTCCTAGAAAACCTGAATGGAACATTGAAGTAAGCCCCCCGACCCTACTTGAAGTTCAAAAGGCTATAAGTAATCTGAAACGAGGAAGAGCAGCTGGTCCAGATGGATTAGCTCCAGAGGTCTTTAAATATGGTGGTCCGATTTTAGAGATTTAGTTGACTAATATTCTGGCTGAAATCTGGAAAACGGACGTAATCCCATGCGACTGGTCACAATCTCTGATTGTCCCAATATATAAGAAGGGGCCAAAATCATCCTGTGATAACCATAGAGGGATTAGTCTGACTAACGTATTATCTAAAATATTAGCCTCAATAATTATCGGGCGCCTAACTAAGACTCGTGAACTGCAAACACGAGAAAATCAGTCTGGCTTCAGACCTGGTCGTGTCTGTATCGACCACATATTCACCATTCGTCAAGTTTTAGAGCACAGACACACTTATCGGCGTCCGACAATGATAGTTTTTCTTGACTTGAAAGCAGCATTTGACTCTGTAGACCGAGAGGTTCTGTGGCATTGTCTGTCATTAAAAGGTGTACCTCAGAAATACATAAACCTTGTGAAGGCTCTTTACTCAAACACTATTAGTCGAGTGAGAGCTTATGGCGAACTGTCATATGATTTTACAACCTCAAGTGGTGTCCGTCAAGGCTGTCCACTATCCCCATTTTTGTTTAACTTCATAATAGACCTGTTGCTGGAAATAACACTCGTCGACTGAATTTTCAGGAATTGATCTTCTACCAGGGGGACCACTAAGCGACTTAGAATACGCAGATGACACAGTCCTGTTTGGTGAAGACGCTGACAAAATGCAGAGTCTTCTGTTGGAACTGAGTAATAATGCCAGGGTGTTTGGGATGCGTTTCTCCCCATCCAAATGTAAATCGTTACTCCAGGACTGGCCTGCGTGAACATCTAAACTAAGGATAGGTAGTGAAGTAGTCGAACGCGTCGATAACTTCACTTATCTTGGAAGTCTGATCAGTCCTAATGGGTTGGTGTCTGACGAAATCTCAGCACGGATTCAAAAAACTCGTTTGGCTTTTGCCAACTTACGTCACTTATGACGAAGACGAGATATCTGTCTATCAATTAAGGGACGAGTATACTGCGCAGCAGTTCGCTCTGTTCTACTTTACGGCTGTGAAACATGGCCATTAAGAGTAGAAGATACTCGTAGGTTACTAATATTTGACCACAGATGCCTTAGAAATATTGCTCGCATCTGCTGGGATAACCGGGTAAGTAATAGTGAGGTTAGATACAGGGTATTAGGGAATGATGGTAAATCAGTTGATGAGGTGATGAATCTTCATCGACTGAGATGGTTTGCCACGTGTTACGTATGCTTGAACACCGATTACCACGACGCTCTATGATGACTAGTATTGGGGATGGTTGGAAGAGAGTTAGGTGCAGCCAAACCAAAACATGGCATCAGTGCTTGAAGTCACTAACTTCTAGCCTGAGCCATGTTGGTAGATACAGACTACCTAGTAGGAGTCCGCGTGACTATCGTAACCAATGGTTGGAGACTCTAGGTGACATGGCTCAGAATCGATCACAATGGCGTAGATGTATACACTCTTTATCTTCCCTTAAACCTTGAGATTGAAATTGCTTCATAACGTTCTTCCTTTCTATACTATATCCTTATATACAATCTTTCTTTATGCACCACCACTAAATTAACTACTATGAATCCGGTGTTGATCTTGTTGTGCTAACGAGGTATGGCAACTTGGGACGATGCATATATGTGCCTGGTCCTGCGTTGTCGCTGACTGACTGACTGATGTAGTGCAACTTGGGTTTATAGTTTGTAACATGTGTTTAGTAAGTTTTAGGTAGAATTATCTATCAATCACTTTCTTGTGTTATAAGTACTGAACTAAACCTTATCAACTTATTTACCAGGCATTTAACTACGATGTAAGATGAAGGTTGGAGGTAATGGACAGGGAACCCTCCAGCACTTTACGTCTCAACTCAGCACACGTGATGTCGAGTCACCTAGGCAAGTGGTTATATTTCAACTTGATCAATAGGATTCTATTTTCACCAAGAAAGATGTAACACATATGACATATAAATAGTACTATTTAAACTTGGATTAATATTAATTTGGTTATTTATTCTCTGAAGAAGTGGCTTACACTGAGTCACGAAACGTCAGAAAATCTAATTTTTCTACTCATTGGGATATTACAAATATATAATTTATTTATAACAATCTACCCAATGCTCAATTTATTCAAAATTATCAAATCAAGTCTTGGTAATGATACCTACATATGACATAAGTTAATACCTAGTGATCAATCAGTTATAACCTTAGCTACAAGTCCAGTACGTTTATGAGATAGCAATACTGTCCATTTACCGAAATCAAAGCAAATGTGACGGGACTCTAACCTTTGACTCTGAAAATCCAACACCCGGGGTCATTACTATGAAGTCTAATTGTGCTTAGTGTTTCAAGTCGATCTATAATTAAAACTTTGAAATACTACATATCGGTCTCTCATCTGTCAGTCCAAAACAACGATCTATCTAAGCTCATCTGAAGGCCCTGTGGCATTTTTAATCTGCCTTGTTGTCTCGCTAAGCAATTACATGAGACTGTAGCTACCTGCTATTAGATTAATTAATTCCACAGTGTTCATACAGCTTGTAATTAGATACTTGGTATTATTTCCGACATGGTTAATCACTATATTCATCTGCATATTTTGTTTTAGGTCCAACCGTTCGGCGTAAAAGATGGTGTGTTTGGTGATGTCACAGATTGTGTCGGGTACTTCAGTATTGGTGTCTGGTCATCACTTATCGTCTCCATCCTTTTGGTTTCTGTGTTAACATATGGCTTAGTCATGTTGGCATCTGTACAGCCTAGTGAAATATATGAGGATCCTAAAAAGAAAATGATTCAACTTGGTGGAGATAACTAAGAACACAAGTTTTGTTCAAAGGGTTTAATTAAACAGCTATTCGTGATAAATATTTATCTAATATAGATTTTGGTTCTGTGTTTTCAAGCATAATCCCTTTTTATTTATATTCAAGACTTACTATTCTTTTTGATTTTCTCTCTATAACGTTGCTGTATTGTGTACAATAGTCATATATTCACTAAAGATCCATTTTGTCTTCTATTTGTTTCTCGTTGTTGATTGATTAAAAAAAATAAAAGAATCGGATCAATTTATAATTTTCATCTAAACATCTTATAATTGTTCTTATCAAATAGCCTTTCCGACCTCAACAGTTTCAGCATAGTTTAGCAATACATCATACGCGGTGATTTAATGGTTAAAATGCTTGACTAATAAGTATTATGATTAATGTTTGATTAGACTCAAATGAGAGTTAATATTTACAAAGTCAATTGAAAATAGTTTGGATGACTGCGATTTCCATTTGTACTGTTAAAGCGTTGCAATCCCAATGTGTTTATTAAATGGAAAAGTGTTAGTGTTATCTATGTACCCTTTATCTTATTAGGTTTTTGAAGGACAAACTTACCTAGTCAGCAATTAAGGTGGCGACGGCTACAGCATTGGGCTCCGAAGGTGTCCATTACCCCAAGAAAGGTTGTTTAGAGGATTTAGTAATATATTTTAGTTTCGTTTCATCGACCTCGGTTTCAAAGTTAAATGTGATCAATACTTGGTGAGACCTGATTCGTAATTCTATACTTGCATCAAAGTTGAGATACTTTGGGAGTTAGAATTACTGTCATAATCACGGGGAGGGGGGGTGAAAGTCAGGTCACTAGTTACAGCTACAAGCTAAAATAATGCTCGGTTTACGAGAGCTGATTACCCTAGAGAAGTAGGCAAGCATAATACTGGATTAATACTCGTCCTCATGGGGCTCCAGTTGCAGTCAGATTTGTCACGTATTAACTGCGACTGCGATACTGGGTGACAGGTTTGAAGCACATATTTGTAAATAAACTTTTCCAATCCCGGCGCAAATGTAGTCAAATAGAACTTCCTTTCTGTTGCTAACATCTGTATCCGCTGAAACAAATTCTTTGATTGTTCAAATCCAAACTAGTTGGTAGTTGAATTGAAACATCCACAGGATTCAATTGTTCACACGTATATGGCCACTGCCACGTAAGTCCTACTCACGGCCTTCTCGTGACACAGGTGTTGTTTACGAAATTGAGAGGACGAAAAGCGAATGTCCGATGCTTTAACTGGGTTGGAGGACACGGGAAGTTCACCTAGGGGAGATGGAAAACCCTGATTCCAAATAAATGGTGTACATGGGCTCCAGTATCCTGACGGAACAAATGGCATATGAACCAATTGTTGGTCACCGGCTACTATGGGACTGCATCTCCTCACGATGCTCCACTGTCTTGTGGATTAGACATTTAGGTCAAAGGTTCCGGGTGTGTCCCCCTAAGAAAACTACCTGCTTCAGTTTGGACACCCGAGCAGCATCACAGCTTTCACACAAATCGAATAAGATTTGTGTGGTGCATATATATCTGGTTCCTCTTTGTACCAATATTTAAATGTTTAAATAAATAACACAAGTATATCTGTACATGAATATGAACGTCTAGATAAGTAATGATTCTATCTTCTAACACCTTTCAAAATGTTCTAATATTTCCTTTTTTCACTCGAATAAAGAATGACAAGTGCGTTTTTTTTTAGTAGTGGAGACAATAAATTGATTTTTATATTTCCCCCCCCCTCATTTTATTGATCAAATTATTTTCCTTAGTCTAAAACTGTGAAATTCATTCGTTTCATTGGTTACTTCATTCCACAATTTTTTATTTTTTTTTTGAAATAGGATAGACATACATATTCCTTAAATCTAATCTGATTGGTCATTTTATAATTATAGACCTGTCCGTTTTTATCTGTCTAGTCAATTTCTTATTATTATTTTTGTATATTTCCCAACTTCAAATCAAAATGACCTTGTGATTATTTGATTAGCATGTGTATTATTATCTTTCAAAACAAAACAACTACTACTTCTTGATATGACTAGATTGTGAATACCTCCGATGTTCAGTTGCTATGGTATCTGTATATATATATGTAGAAAGTAATGATCCTTAATCAGAAATGGAATTACCAATTAACTATTGTTTACCATTCACAAGAACTATTCAAGAATAACAACGCGAAATTTTCAATTTTGAAACATGAATGATAAGATATAAACAATTAACAACTATTTACCATTGATCAACCTTCAACAAAAACAACGCGAAATTTTCAATTTTGAAACATGAATGATAAGATATAAACAATTAACAACTATTTACCATTGATCAACCCTTATTAGAATAACAACATGGAGTCTTCAATGTTATAATAATCTTAATTATATTGTTCAATGTTCATTCCTTTAAATTTCTCCTTTAAATTTTTTACATTCATATACTACTTATATCATTCTATATTATCATCATCTTATAATATTTATATTATCTTATATATATTGAATAAATTCATTATTCATTATTATTATGTAGATGCTGTTGATGGTTGTAGTATTATATATCAATTAGATTTTAAATGGAAAAAAGCAATATGTGATTCAGAATTCAATAAACTTAAAGAAATTCCATTAAATTTACCGGTAAATTTAATTGAATTACATATTATACATCAATCAATTAAAATAATTAAAAATAATTCATTAAATTATTTAATAAATTTAGAAAAATTAACAATTGAATCAAGTGAATTAAAACAAATTGAATTAAATACATTAAATCAATTAATTTTATTAAAATCAATAAATTTACGTAATAATTCATTAAGTATAGGATCAATAAGTTTTCCTATTAATTTATTAAATAATTTACCTAATTTAATATCATTAAATTTAGCTGAAAATTTTATTGATTTTATACCAGATTTATTTTTTTATAATCTCTATAGTAACAATATAAAATTAAAATATTTATGGTTAAATTCTGTTAAATCAAATGGTATTATATTTGAATCAAATCATTTAATTTCATTACCATATTTATATTTATTAGATTTAAGTTATACTGGATTAACTAATTTAAATGAATTAAATGAATTAGCATTAAATGAAATGATATATTTAAAAGAATTATATTTAGGAGGTAATCCATGGATATGTGATTGTAAATTAAATTGGTTAAAATTATGGTTTATTAAAAAATCATTAAATCATATAAAATTTCAAAAAAATAAAACAAATTCAATTGGTGGTCATATTGATTTAATTGAACCATTATGTTATAAACCAGATCATTTAAAAGGGAAACGTATTTTATCCTCCTCCTCCTCATCATCATCATCATCATCATCATCATTATCGAATGATCAATATAATGTAGTACAATTTACTGATTTACAATGTACTACACAAATATTTACATTAAATCAAAATTATACATTTTATAATAATAAAACAATGTTATTAAAATGTGAATATTATTCAAAGGAGATGGATCATTTATTATGGTATAAAGATGATCAATTAATACAGAATACTACTGATCATATGATTATATATGGTCAATTAGGATCAAATTATTATTCAAATCTTATTGTTACTATGACAACAGGTAAAGATACAGGATTATGGAGTTGTGTATTAAATAATCAATATCGTACATTATTTGAAGTGAATATTATTGATTCTAATGGTAAAATACTTTATCCTAATGATGATGATCAATCTTTTATCAATGGAGCATTAATACTATTTGGTATGAATGGACAAACAAAGAATTGGATATATGCTGGTATTGCATTAATTATTTTATTTGTAATCTTAGCATTTATTGGTATAGGGATATTTTGTTGTTGTGATCCACATACAACATCATCGGATACATCAACTGATTTACAAGTATTACATGGAGAAAATATGAAGAATTGTCCTTCTATGAATAAATCAGGATCTTTATGTAGACAACGGTTTAAATGTATCTATAATAGTCATCATAATATAAAGAGCAAGGTAAAGAAAGATGATTCACGGAGTAGTCTCTTAGTGACAACTCATGATGAACAAAAAATGATTGATAAAAATGATTTACAATTGATAAGTACCATAAAAGATGATACAAATACAATTGTAACATCTACAACAATGATAACAACGAATATTATTCCCAATTCAGATATTCATATGAATAATACAGAGAATGATGTTACTTCATTAAGAAAAAATATAGATGAGAATCGTTTATTAAATATTTTTTGTTGTCCTACAAATGCAACACGTGAAGTACAATTTGTTACTATACCTATAACTAGCTCCGCATCATCATCATTATCAACAAATGTTACACATTTAGGTGGATCATTAATACAAGGAACAGTTGTTACTGATGAAAATCGTGTTTTAGTATCTTGTGATAGTCCAGAACCAAAATTATTGATTGCTACAAATGAAATTACACCATCTACAAATATTTGTTCATTAGATTTTTCTACTTGTTTACAACAACAACAACAACAACCATTGAATGTTATACCTCAACAAAATTGTACTGGATGGGATGGTAATGGCGGTTATTCAGTACCACAATTTCCTGGAATTTATACATCTAGTCAAATAACTATTGAAACATCAAAACCATGTCCTGTACATGGAATTATGAATTTGAAACAGATGGAAATGAATTGTGATATACCTGTCAACACTACTATTGATAGTAATCATACAAATACTAAACAATTATCAAATTATAAAAAAGTTGATTCCATCTATTGGGATCATTCCAATAGTTCAACAATTTTAACAGATCCTCATTTATCCTATAACTTATCAAATTGTATATTTTTAGATTCTCAAAATCATGGTCATATTACCAATGGTACTCATAGAAGTAATGATCATCAAAAGAATGAAATAGAAGTTATACAAAACTATTCAAAACCTTTATCATCTCATTATGATATGAAGGATTATAGTTTATTACAAAAAGCTAATTTAAACGAAGTTAATATACAATGGTCAACAGATTCACGATCTCAAGGAACTTGTCCAGTTCATGGAAATCAGACGTTATCAAGAAGGAATGATCCATTGAAACACATTAACAAAGAAGATATTGTATTAGGAAGTCGTAAAAATTTAAAAAGAAATCATTTAAGTAAATCTATCATTCATGAACCATCCAGTTATCACACAGATCATTGTCATCATGAAACATCGATTTGTTCTTCTAATGATACAAATGATCATGAAGAAACGGATAATCAGTCAAACAGTGTTCATTATGACCATTATAACTTACCGATGAATTCTATCAAGCCAAAACAAATTATTTATACATCAAATGATGAAACAGAATCTCATGATGAAAGTTCATTATCTGAAAAATCATTACATAGTGATGATTGTACTTCACATTCATGTACATCTTCAATTTCATCTTCAACGAATTCATCTTCTTCTTCAATCAATCAACATTTCAAATATATTTATCCATCTAATCAAACAGGATTGAATTCAATTTGTTCATCTTTATCAAATCAAATCAATTTGGCGGCGGCAGCTGCTGCTTCAGTGAATACTATTTCTGATCCATTACAACAACAATCTCCACCTTCATTAGAATTTTGTCCTTCACCAGAATTATTAAGTAATCGACCAAATAGTACAAATAATTATGATACATTTAATAATTTAAAATGTCCTTTACATTCTTTAACAAAGAATCATAGATTTATACCACGAAAACTATTCTATGATACTTATAATCATCGGGAAAATATGCGTCAACATCATCATCATCATCATGATAAGAATAATAACCGAAGTTCTCTTCGAGTGACTACTTTACCAACAAGATTCAGGAAAGTCAGTTATAATAATAATAATAAGGGTAATACTACTAATAATAGTAGTAATAGTAGTATGATTTCTAATATGGCCTCCATTAGAAAATTTTCTAGTCAACATACAGTTCAATCAAATTATTATTCATCTTCTTCTTTATATTTATCAAATACTCAAAGTTTAGATAAATTTATGAATAAACATTTGGAAAAATCAATTTTACGTCCCGGTTCTAAACATAAATTAGATACAGAAAGTGATTCCGATGATGATGATACTACTAATGATAATAATAATAATAATCATCATCATAATAATTTAGAAGAAAATAATTTTTAATTTTTCAAAGAAAAAAACTTTTTATCGATAGATTTGAATATTGTACAAAATAAAAAAAATATATATTAGTATCTAGGTGGGGGTAGGGGGAAAATTCTCTGTATATATAAATCTATATATATATATATATATATATATAGTTTCATTCAAAAAAATATGTAAATGTTTATGATGTAATAATTTTCACAGTTGAAATCATGAGTTAATTAAAGGTAGACTACCATTGAAAACTTGGAAGCATTGGACGGCCAACTTGCCCTATTATGGGACTCCTCAGAAGTGTGCATTCGTACTGGCTCAGTGGTTTAGTGGTTAAGCGCTCGCAAGGCATGATTGTGGATATGCACTGCTGTGGAGTCCCAGAATAGGACGAAACGGCTGTCCAGTGCTTCCAAGTTTTCCATGATGGTTTAGTTTCAATTGACTCATGATTTCAATTATGAAAATATTGAAATATTCATAAAAAACCCTTTCTGATGTAATAATTGTCTTGTTTTTTTTTTATTAAAAAAAATGTTGCTAAGAAGACATTGATTTTTGTTTCTTGTAAACATTTGATTAGATTAATTTTCACAATATTCTATCTAAATAATAATAATAATGATTAATTGATATTTGACAGAATGCTAGTGGGCGGCTTGTGCTCCTTCACGAGGGGTAACAGGCTTAAGTAAGTAAGTATAGATATTTGAATGATCAATACTACTATTATTGGTAATAAATAAACAATGAGTAGTAAATAAATAATTAAATAATTTTTTTGATTATATAAATGAATAAATAATTCAGTTATTTAATAGACAATAGTAAACATGTATACATTATAGTATTTCAATGAAACAATGTATATACACTTTTTTGTTTTGTTTCCTTTATGATTCTGTCTTTTATGTTTGATTAAACGAAAAGAAAAAAAAAACTTTTTGAAGAATGTTTTTCTTGTTTTTTATTTAAAGGGAAAAATCATCATATTTTAATTGAGGTTTGAATAGATTACTGTTAATGTCTTTGACTGTAAAGCTGGATGATATAGGATGGAATACGTCTGGGTAGTATCAGTTTTCTTGAAGATTACAGGTGCACTTTGCTGACGAGTGCTAAGTAGGATGAAACCTAGGTTCAGAATTTCCTGTTGACTACCACCAACTACTATGTTATCTCAACATAGTGCACGAAATGTCAAGTCACTTAGACTAGTGTTCACTTTGAAAATTGGTCGATTAGATTCGATATGCCCCCGAATGCCCTGATACTTCCGAGAGTAAGGAGAGTCCGCTCTCCGTCTCCAAATGCTTTCACATGGCCTCTCATATATAGCCTCTACTAAGGAAGTCCTACTCACTGCCTTCTAGCACCACGCGTGTTGTTTACGCGATTAAGTGGACAAGAAAGCGAAACTCTGGCGCTTTAACTGGGTTAGTCATGGACACGCCGTGTCCACCTAGGGGAGTTGGAAAACACTGATTCCAAACCAATGGTGTACATCGACTGCAGTATTCTAAGGGGACAAATGGTGTGTGAGTAAATCGTTAGTCACCGGCTTGCATGGGGTTGCATCTCCTTACAACGCTTCACTACCTTGTGGATCAGATCTTTAGGTCATAGGCTCCGGTTGTGGGCCCCTAAAAAAACCATCTGCTTCAGTTCGGGCACCTGAGCAAAATGACAGCCCTCACACAAATCAAATGAGATTTGTGTGGTGCATATATATCTGTTGCCCCTTTATACCAATATTTATGTGCTTAAATAAATAAATAAGAAGGACCTTGCATACATGACATTGATCATCATCCAGTGATCATTTAATTGTAAATCGAGGTAACAATGTTGTAGGAGAAAACGTTTTTTTACTTTTTTAATTCAGCATAAAATTGATTAAGTTTGAAATGAAAGGAATTGTTTAATATATAATCCAATAAAGTCAGTGATTGTTAGTATAGGATTGTGGTAGTTTAACTTTAATTCATTCAGGATTTTAATGAGCCAGTTACTTATCGAAGACAGTAAAAGATAGTCAGTGAATACTTTAACATAATGTATGTTTCAGTACAAAATAATTTATATTATAACTATTTCAGAACGAATTCTTAATCTAAGGGCGTATGTTAAGTAAAGATTGTGATTTTATTGGCTAAAGTGTTGCCAATGCCTGAAAGTTGGTTAATATAGGAATAGGTTCGTAGAAAGTAAGCTGTGGTCAAACTATGACTTTAGTCTATTAAAGAAACTTACTAATGCATTGAGAACAGTCGTGTAGTAAAGACTTCTTGATAATGTATGTTAACTTTTGCATATGCACGATTTCCACGTTTTAAGTTGTTTATAATTCACCAAATGACGTTTAGTACACAAATTATTCATTGACTGATTTGTCTACATATTCATCGCAGGACTTTATTATTTAGAATGTGAAACGTATGATGGTGTTCTGCAGTTATAAGGAATTCGAGGAAAAACAACTAATCTTTTATAGGATTATAGTGTCGTTTTATTCATTATTCACGTATTCAATGCTAATATGATGTCTAGTTTCTAAGGATAATCGAAGTCTGTCTCAGTTATGACTTTTCTCACAGTGACATTACATTTGGAAGGATATGAATCAAACGGGGAATCTTAATTATCTCAATGTTGTAGAATTGTTTTCTTGACGATTGCTTAGGTTTAGAGTATCCTACCGACTGCCTCCAAGCACCTATCATCAAACATGGTATACCAAGTCATTTGAGTTACATAATAAAGACATTGTAATATTTTTTACGATTATATATTCACTATCGTGGATGCGCACTGTTGAGAAGTTCCATAATAGGACGAAACGGCCGTCCAGTGCTTCCAGGTTTCCCATGGTGGTTTAGCTCCAATTGACTTACGCTTTCAACTATGAAAATACTAAATCCCCACAAAACCCCTTTTGATATATTCACTAATTACGCATGGCACCTAATTATTTCCAATGCTGTTAATTCAGTTGAAAAAATTACTTCTAATGGTCTTCAAAGTCTCATAGTGCACATTAATTCTACACAGCTTTAATGCCATCCAGTTTAATCTTATGCTTAAGTAACCTTCACAAGAGTTCCGTCATTTATTGACCAGTAGCACAAACACTTAAAAAATACTTGAAAATCACAAATCAACCGAAGATTAGCAAATTAATTAAGCTTTAAGTGACAAATAATGATCTGATCCAAAAGGCAGTGGAGCATCTAGAGGAGATGCAGTCCAATGGTAGCCGGTGACCAATGATTGATTCATAGGCCATTTGTTCCCTCAGGATACTGGAGCCCGTGTGCACCATTGGTTTGGAATAAGGGTTTTCCAACTCCCCTAGGTGGACTAGCCTTGTCCACCAACCCGGTTAAACCTCCAGATATTCGCTTTTCTTCCTCTCAGTTTCGTAAACAACAGTAATGCTACAAGAAGGCAATGAATAAGACTTCCCTAGTAGAGGCTATATACGCGTGGCCATATGAAAGCATTTGGAAAGGGAAAGCAAACTTTCCCCACTCTTGACCGTATCAAGGAATTTAGGGAGCCGATACGGACGACTATCACCTTATAATGAAGTATATATTTAGAACTTGATGGTTTTAATTGATTTTCTTGTTTAAAAGAGTTCATAATATTTACCCTATTTGAATGATTAGTCAGTTTGCTAGATATAATTAATTCCTTTTTTTAAATTAAAGCAACATAGTCCACTTTTTCAGTTACTTAACACTAACCTACCTACGTTTTACAATTCATATGGTTAATTATTGTGATTATATAAGATTCTAAGGATATTTAACAGTCATAAGGATTATCAGAAGGGGTTTTGTGGAGATTTAGTATTTTTCATAGTAGAAAGCATGAGTCAATTGAAGCTAGACCACCATGGAAAACCTGGAAACACTGGACGGCCGTTTCGTCCTATTATGGGACTCCTCTGCAGTGCGCATCCATGAACCTGCTCTCGCGAGCGACACTCGAACCCAGGACCTACCAGTCTCGAGCCGAAGCCCTTAACCGATAGACCACTGAGCTGGCATCCAACGGTGTTAATGTTTAACTTCGGTTCGAAACTGGTAGGTCCTGGGTTCGAATCTCGCTCGCGAGAGCGGGTTCGTGAATGCGCACTGCTGAGGAGTCCCATAATAGGACGAAACAGTCATAGGGATTAACTTTCTTTAAGATCTTTTTAATTACATAAATCAATTTAAAAAAATACCATAGAAATGCTGGAATCCGACTGGTTTTTATTGATTGATTAATTATTGATTAACATTCCCAAAAGTTATTTAAATATCCATCCAGTAGATTTAAAGATAAATGACCAGTTGTGAGAGAAGAAAGTTAAAGTGTCAAAAAAAAACGATTGATTTATTTTACGCCTATAAAGTCATACAATGTAACTAAGTAACGCTTGATTTAAATAATACTATTGTGGTGTAGGTAACTTATATCTATATAAGTAGTATATAGTGATGGTTAAATATAGAATATATTTTGGCAGAAGATCAATAAGGAAAGAACAAAAACGATACGCGATCGATATGAAAGTGAATGAACAATGAGATCAGAAAAGATGGACTGATATTTACAGAAAAAAAACAAACAGCTGAGATTGAGATAATTGATTGATAGTTTGTAAATTAACTGTTTACTACTGTATGGCTATCAGATTTTAGTGAGATAGTCTGTAATTCTCTTGTCTGATACATTTAATTGTCTTCATCTGTGTTCTTAATCACTTCTTAATCACCTTATTTGATAAAAACTTAGTAGATAGATGGATATAAAAAAAAATCATCCGTGTTATCCAAGTGCTTGGAATATCATTATGGGGGTTGTGGAGATTGTTGAGTTTTTGATTAAGATCATAAATATTACAAAATATAATTTAATTTCATATCAAGGTAAATTATGTATGTGGCTTGAAATACTTATCTTCGTATTTTTTAACAATATTGATTAGAGTAGTTATTGTTTGGAAATCAGAATAAGTACATCATTAC